ACAAATTGGAGGATTGGACCAAAAAAAAAAAATCTCATGAGGTTCAATAAGGAGAGTGCAAAGTCCTGTACTTAGGATGGAACAATCTCATGCACTGGGACAGGCTGGGGACTGACTGGCTAAGCAGCAGTTCTGCAGAAAAGGACCAGGGGGTTATAATAGACAATAAATTGCATATAAGCCAACAGTGTGCCCTTGTTGTCAAGTAAGCTAACAGCATACTGGGCTGCACTGGTAGAAGCACTGCCAGCAGATGGAAGGAAGTCAGTCATGGGAAAAGTTTATGAAAAAATGTAACTTGCTAAAGTTAAAAGTAAGCAGCCTTTAAAATTAACTTGAGTTAAGTTAAAAGTTAAATATTTCCACTTTCAACTAGTTAAAAGGTAAGTTAAAAAGAAAATAACTACTTAAAAGTTAAACTGACTCGTGAAAAATACGTGAAACACAGTGACTTGCCTCTTAGCATCATTTTTCATTTTCAAATGCAATTAGTAGGTTTCCTTTCTATAAACCCACAAAAGCACGCTCATTTACTCGGAACTCACCCTGCTTTACCTATAAACAATGTTTTGTCATACAGTTTTCAGAATAATAATTTACCAATACCTATGTAATGTTAGATCCTTCTCACCCTCTCCATGTGAAGTACTTTGTAAAAGTCAGTGCATCATATAGGTATACCAGAATAACAGTAAGGAGATATTCATAGCCAGGTGACAAACGAAAGCTGTTTCCACAGAAAACCTCTGTTGTTACAATTTTAAATGCTCAAAAGGTAACAAAAGGGTATGAAATACATCTGAATTAGAAATAATGAAAGTGTCTGAAAATCAAAATTAGACTGAAATGAGAAAATCAGTTTAAATGAGAAAAAGAACGTTCAGTTGCATAGCAGAAACTGTTTAAAATGCTTATTGAACTTCAGCAGAAGCTGGATTTCAAAATTTACATCTGACAATTTTCATCTTCTGTCTTGCAAAACTAAGCCCCCACTACTGAACAATTGCTCTACGTGGGCAGATGAGGGAATGCTTGTGTTATAACAGATTAATAGTTTTTCCATAATAGGCGACATCTCAGATAAGTTTCTCACAGATGAGAAGTAATGCTCAACTCAGGGGCAATGTGTAGGGGGCGCACGCAGGTGTACGTGCACCCCCTGTGCATGGCAGTGCACCCCTTGCAAAAAGGCACTGCCAACACTGTTGGCAGCACCTGAGGGCAGTCACCGATCACCACCCCATCACTAGCACTGCCAGCGGCATCTGTGGCCGGTCCACGATCGCCTCTGGCCATTGCCGATACAGCCTGCGGCGCTTGTGGGTGGACATCCTTCCCCTCCTCCTCTGACAGTGCTGGCAGCGTCTGTGGGAGCTCCCTGCTCATTGCTGGCGCAGCCATGCCCCCCGCCCCACCCCAGCTGCTGTGGGCACACACCGTTCATGGCTCAACTTCTTGGGCCCTGGTTCGGATCTTCATTAAAATTAAAAAAGTCATGATCTGCTTCACCCTCACTACTTGCTCCCACTCTTACTGAGATCAATGTATCTGCTTGCTTGTGCGTGTTCCCTCTCCTGCAGCCAACTGGCTGCCCTGTTGACTTCTGCAAATGCACAGAAAATGCCAGCATGAACTAAGAAACTCTGGGACTTGTAGTTCTTAAGAGACCATATCTCATAGGAAGGCACACTACTCCGTCTCTCAGACAAGACGTCCTAGAGTTTCAATAAAGAAATATTGTTCCATGCAAGCCCTAGAGAGTGGCTGTCAGGAAAAACTCTGGGAAAGCCGCATTTCAATTTTTAAAAACTTAACTTATACTTAAAAATGTTAAAGTTAACCTTTTCTATAACTAGTTAAAGTTAAAAGTTGACAACTGAAAAATTTAACTAGTTAAAGTTAAAAGTTAGCCATTTCTTTAACTTTTTAACTAGTTAATTAACTAGTTAATTCCCATGACTGAGGGAAGTGATTATTCCCCTCTATCTGGCACAGATGAGGACACACCTGGAGTACTGTGTCGTTTTGGGCCCCTCACTATAGAAAGTATGTGGAAAAAATTTTTAAAGTCCAGCAGAGGGTAACAAAAATGGTTAGGGGGGTGGGGAACATGACTTATGAGGAGAGGCTGAAGGAACTGGGCTTATTTAATCTGAAGAAGATTGAGAGGGGATTTAATAACAGCCTTCAACTACCTGAAGGATGATTACAAAGAGGATGGTTTCAGAGTGTTCTCAGTGGTAGCAGATGACAGAATAAGGAGCAGTGGTCCAAAGTTGCACCAAAGGAAGTTTAGGTTAGGTATTAGGAAAAACCCTCAGTAGGAGGGTAGTAAATGACTGGAACAGAGAGGTTGTGAAATCTTCATCCTTGGAGGTTTTTAAAACCCACCTACACCAAGTCTTGGCTGGGATGATATAGTTGGGGATTGTCCTGCCTTAAGCAGGGAGTTGGACTAGATATCCTCTTGAGGTCCCTTCCAACCTTAATCTCGTATAATTCTATGAGTTTATAGAACAACAATTAAAACAGTATTCAATTGTTAAAACAATCTGAATACTGCTTACAGACAAGCAAACTAAATTCAGCAACTAAAGATTCAGCAAATTATCTGTGTCCTTTCCTGAAGCACTAGTCCTGAAATATCTGAGCTCTGCAGCTGCAACACTTTTTTTTTCTACAAAAACAGGGTTCATAAAGAATTCTGAAATCCCATTATACAAAGTGTTCTTATCGAGGTCACACTACTTGTATAAATGTAAAACTTGACTAAAAAAGTTCTCTTCTCAAACAAAAAAAATACTTGGGTTGATGTCACATGTAGCAAGCCCACGACCCCTCAGGAAGTCCATTATGCTGACAAGTGAGAAAAAGAAGAGGAAATAAAGAATACTTTATATCAGTGGTGCTCAGCCTATGTCCCACAGGCTGAATCTGGCCCCTGAAGTGACCAGATTTAGTGATCAGCAGCAGGCAGCTCAGCCTAGTGTGTCCCCTTTCCTGTCCTGTGCCATGTGGCTGATCCTTTGCACAGCCTTTTCTGTTCTTTCCCTCTTTCTCCCCCTGGCTAGACAGCTTATTTCCAGTAAATAGTGCCTGTCTTCTTCCCACATACCACTGGCAGCCACTTCCCTCCTCCTTCTCTTCCTTCCCCGCTCCCCTACTGGAGGGGTGTGGTGACTCCGGGTGCAGCTTATTTGCAAGTACTTGGCCTGCTGAAATAAAAGGTTGAGTACCATTTTTCTGTACCATATTTAGAGAAATACAATGTACATCTTTCCCCCAAAATTTAGCTGCTGGAAATTGGGGTGCACATTTTAAAGAAGGAAACATGGGGATCAGAGGAATTAGTACTGTGGGAGCTGAACTGCCTAGCTCCTCTTCTTAAGCTAGGTGGGCAGCCAGCAGCACCTGTCACATCGGCTGAGCGCCCACCCATCTCAAGAAAAGAAAAGGAGCCAGGCAGTTTGACTCAGCCAGCAGTACCTGCTGAGTCAGATGAGGGGCCAATGAGGTTTTTATTACATCAGCACTGATATTTGATCATCTTTATATTCTATACCATTTCTTAAGTGCTCAGTTATGCCAACTAAGTACAAGTTATTGGTGAGTCAGTCTGAAGTTCCCAGTTGTGTCCCTGGGAGTAGCACTGCATCTCAGAGCTCTGATTTACTCACTTCTTTCACCTTAGAAGGGAAGAATAGGGTGATTTTCTTGTTATGAATAGAAATTGTCCTTCTCTGCATACTATTAAACCATGCCTTCTGGAGATGGAACAATGCATCTAATGACGAGAACATCTTGACTCTGCAATGCCTAGCACAGTGGTTCTTAAACAGCATCCTGAGGTCCCTCCAGATATTTTGAAGGGTGCCTCAAGGTGTGAGGAGGTAAGCAGGTAAGTGCAGGCTCAGGCTTGTCCATGCCTGCCTGATTCCCCACCCCCATTGCCTGGCCCCTCTGCTAGGGGCTGACCACTGTAATATATAAATTAGTTTTTGAAATGAGGTGCCACTCAATTCACAAAAGTTATAAAGGGATGCCTCAAGTCCAGTGAGGTTGGGAACCACTGACGTGGTGAAAGGTATTTTCAATAAGTGTCCCAGAGATGGATATTCCCTGAATCTTGTAAAGTTTTCATTGCCTCCTTTGCAGCCCTAATTTCAAGTTATACATCAAGTCCATGTGCACTTGCAATAACTAAGCAGAATTCTCAGAGACAAAGTATAAAACGACAGCAAAGTCTAGCTTAATACTTTTGTCCAATTGTGTTGACTTCATCCTTGACCATGAGATAGGGTTTGTTTACATGATAAAATACACCAGTAGATTTCTTCAGTCCCAACCCTCTTGTCTTTTCACATGCACTTTTATCACAGTTTAAGTGGGAGTTAATGTGGAAGCTCTTTGTCAAATCACTAGCAGCATACAACTGCTCTACATTCCAGTGCTTATGCTGGGTTTTTTTTTTAAAGAGATCCTTCAGCATATAGTTGAAAGTCTTTGAAATACTCAATATTTGGTGCTAAAATTTCATTTTTCAGAAGAATTATAATGGGAAATTAAAATATCCAAATATTGGCCAATTTAGATTGTAGTATTACACACTATTTTAGTTTGCATTTGAAACTACTCTGACGTAGTATTAGAAAGTTCACTGGTGAGTTGATTTCCTTTTCAGGAAATCCTATATAAGTTTTGCCACAAACGCTTTTATTTGTTATATCTTAGAAGAAAATGTAGTTTCCAGTCTCTGGACTTGAAGTTACGTACAAAAACACACAACAGAAAAATTAGTCTATTTTAAGGCTACAAAAGTAATGCTGGCTCCTTATGCAATAAGTACTGGTTGTTTATAGATCAGACAGGCTGTTGGCAGAAAGTCAACAGCATATAGTGCTATTCCTCAGGAAAATCTAAGCAGCTGTGGTCATGTAATTTAAAACCTCTAGAAAGTTTGCTGCAGCGCTTGTAGTACTTCAGGGTGCAGCCAGTTATCTAAAGGATTCCCTTCCTCACAGCATGAAAGACAGAAATGAAATGCAAACCTGAATGCAACCTGAAAGGTCCAAATAGATGAGCTTGTGACATCCTTTCCCGGAGGCCAGGTACTGTAAACCTTTGTCTGTGAATTTTCTGCAGTAAGCTAAACTCAAATGCTGTAAATTGGGGAAGTTCCTTTACAAAAAAAAGGAGAAAAAAACTACTGTTAATTAGCATGTTGTAAAAGCTCAGTGCAATCAGATATTATATTGCAGATATCATAGCTAAAATCTATATAAAAATACCATAGAGAAGTGTTGAAGGGTCTTAACAGAACTTTTTTTCTTGGTTGAAGTTTAAGAGACTAGTTTTTCCTGATGCACTTCTCTGAAAAAAAAACCCTGCAAATTGAGAGACTGGTACTAAGGTATATAATCTTTAATAATATGCAAATAAATATCTGTTTAAGGATGCCCAATTACACAGGAATACATTTTTGGACTGTATATATATATGTGTGTGTGTGTGTGTGTGTGTGTGTGTTAGAAGCTACAGACTTTTGAAAGCAAACTTGCCGGACTTACTTTGCTATTGATTTTACAAACTGTGTCTGTTGGAAATGAAAACCAGGTTTCTATCAAAGGACTTCTATTAGAAGCATACAGGAATTAAAACATACTGTTAAACCTTCTCTGGTCATGTTATTGTTTCCATTAACAGGTTTCGAAGCATGCTAGACAAATTGAAAGTGGAAACAGGTACAAAATTGATGCAAATGTATCAAAGCATTCAACCTTTTTTGCATAAAGTTTAAAATCAGTTATATTTAGAAAACAGTTCATTATTTACACCCACTGTTAGATAAAGGAAGAATGCAAACTGGTAAATGGAAAATTTTAACCAAATTGTTACAATCTACATTTTAAATTTATATTAAGTTTGTTGCATTTAAATTTAGGTATATGAAATACTGAAGACTACTAATGTTATTGAACTAAATTTCCAACTGAGATAAAAGTATTGCAATACCACAGTTACCAGAAATGAAAGCTTGCAGAAAAATCAGACCATGCAATTAGGATTAGAACATGCTGCTCAGTAAGAAATTTAGATCTAAGAACATTTTGGGGCCAGTTTTGCAAGTCAGCAAAAACTAGACATTTTGAAGGAAGGCAGGAACACCCACTTATAGAACTGGCTACTTAAGGACTGATACATGTTGTGGGAATTGCCTGTATGATTTGAACTTACATTGGAGACCCACTATGTTAAATCAAATTGAGCAAATGAAGACATAGGAAGTTTGAAGAGTAGTAGAGTCAAGGACAATACCATTGCTTAAAAACGTTGAATTAAAGCTAAAATTAAATTCTTGGTTAAAACAAGAAGGCAAATAAAGCAATCCAAAATAGATATAAGAAAATTAAATGCAGAGATTTTTAAACGAGAAAGTGTTTCTATATTAAATATAGAAATAGGTAGATATTCCCAAATTCCTTTTTAGTGTCCCAGGTTTTTCTGCATTTTTTGGAGTAGTCTGCAACAATGAGTAGAGTCTAGATATGCTCAGCCCTATTTATCTATTTCTCATAGGGCATGCTGCTGGGCACAGGTCCTAAGAATAAGACTGCAATAAGAGAAATTTTTGAAGTCTTACAGTTTTAATGGACTGAAAGTTCTCTGAAAGCAAAGGGAAAGCTTCTTTTTCAATTTTTTTTTTTGTAGACTATGAATCAATATCTTCTACTACAAGATCAACACTTCTTGCAGGTACTCCAACTTTCCTGAGTTACTGCACCTTCTCCATCTACCTTTACTTTTATGATCTGTGAGTTTCTATGTATATTGTCTTTTGCTATTTTAAAAGCGGCAGCTTTCTTAAAAGAAAAACATTAAATCATACATACATCTAAAGCTTCAGACAGCTTTAAATCCTTGTTCTTTTTTATAGAAAAATCTGCCATAAACCCTACAATCTTGGCTTTTGTGACTCATATTCCATCATTTGGCATCAAGAACCTAAAGAATATATGTTTTAAAGCAATATGACAGAATTATCTTCTCATAGTTATTCTTAATAGACAGGCTTCAAGTATGCTACTATACTGTACTGTAACTTAATCAGAGAAGAACTATCAAGTAGATATTCATTCATACTCACTCATATTAACTGTATACCACAGAGGATGAAATTTTGTTATGTAATGAAGTAGTGGAAGAACAGCATGTGGCAAGGTGCCTGCAGCCCTCACTTTCAGAGCAATCACCCCTTCAGCCACTCGCTACACCTTGATGTCTTACTTTGATATGAGGCAGGCTACCCCAGGGCTTCCCAAATTGCTCTCAAATGACCACCAGGTGCCAGTAGTCCCTGCTTTATGGGCTTATTGCATGGATCTACTCTTCTCCTACACCATTCCCTATGCCTCACAAATGGCATCCTCCTTGATGTTCTCTTTCACTTAGCCCCTCTTCTGGGGTTACTGGACCCTCACTGGTCCCACACTCTCAGCCCCTCAATCTGAGCTCCAGACCTCTCTCTAGGTCCCTAGGAACCTCCTCCTCCCCTTATGTTCCTTCCCAACCCTCCAGACTGCTTTAGGTGTAACCCTCCATGTTGACCTTCTGGAGATGCACCTATCCTGCTGAGGTGGTGTTCTTGCAGCAGGCTCCAGCATGTTACTGCTGGCTTATCTCAGGGCCTGGATTTATACTTGTGTTAAGCCCAACCCACCTCCTGAGTCAGATGACTCCCAATTAGCCCTGGCCCCGACCTGACAGTGGCTTCATAGGCTGCCTGACCTCTTAAAGTGGCAGGCACCCCAAGTGCCCTGCCACCCAGCATCTGAAATGGTCAACCAGCTTTCAGTTCACCAAGACTGCAACTCCTTTGGATGGGTATTCCAATAATGAAACTTTATAAGGAGCAGCCAGATGTATGTAAAGCATTTCAAAGTACATATACTGCTGTCTCTCACAGCTTTTGCATTAATTACTTTGTCTCAGAGAACAATATAGTATCTGTTGTGAACTGCCTTTTTTAACATGCCTAGAAATACTTCTCAATTATGTTTATCATCAAAAGCCTCACAATATGGTAGTTCCCTGCTAATCTCAGGAAAAAAATATGGTAACGTTTTGTGCCCATACATCATCAGAAAAAGACTGTTGGATGCCACTTCTCATTCAGGTAGCATTTATGAAAAAAAAATCTTGTAAACAAACAGGGAGTAAACTATTATTGAAACTCTGGTATTTTAACTTTGAGTAATCTACCAAATTAGAGTATTCACTCCTGGGTAGGTCCTACCCACAAATCAACAGAAGCAGCCGACTGATTTTTTTAGTGGCAACAGGAAACTAAAATAACCATGCTAATAAAGGCTGGCAGATATTCTAAAAGAGCTATTCCAAAGTTAAACACAAAGAAACTAAAACTAAAAAAAAGGCTACATATGTGCCAACTTGCAGAAACCACAGAATTCTCTCACAGAAAGAATACTGATGCAGTAGGTCAAGGTGGGAATCTGCAGATGGAAAGCTTCAATTGGCAAAAGAGTAGCTGACACTGGACTGGTACAACTAAGGCATCATTCTGGTGCAGAGCAAATCTGCAAGCCCAGAAGGTAAGATACAAAGCACCAAGGGTGTGTCGGGGGGAGGAAGGGGTGTTAAACCTTCCTAAGAGGCACTGGATGTTGGCTACAGCCAAGGCTGGGGACTTTGACTGGAGTGTGCCAATGTTCCTGCTGGGACCAAAGCTGGAGGTTCCTGGTTAAAGGGTCTTGTCCCTCCATTCATAGTCAGACTGGTCACTTTATTTGGAGCCAGGAGATAATTTTACCCCATAGTTGGATTGTTATGGACTGTGAGGGTTTTTACCTTCCTCTGTAGTGGGGGACATGGCCCTTTACCCAGGATCTTTTCAGTATATATTGACATCATTTCATAGAAGCAGGATATTGGCTGCCATCATTCCCCTGCTTTATCTGTGGCAGGTTAGGATATTAGGTCCATGTTGTGTCAGGGTTCACAACAGTCTTATACAGAGTTTAGATTATGGTTTGTATAGGATAGGATAGGATAGGATAGGATAGGATAGGATAGGGATGATCCTGCGTGAGGCAGGGGGTTGGGCTAGGTGATGTCTGGAGATCATTTCTAGCCCTACTATTCTATGATTCTATGAAGGAAAACAGGCTCCAAGAATCTGTGGAGCTACTGCAAGGCAGAGAGAGAAGCACAGAGTGTTGACAGACGTGACAGTTTGTCACATGATCAGCCACTGAAAGGACTCTACAGCTGTGCACTGACAGAAGTGCACAACTGCAGGGCATTTAAAAAATGCTCGAACAGGTGGCAGTCTGGCACCCATAAACTGCAGGGCAGTTTAAAAATGCTTGAACGGGTAGCAGTCTATCAGTGTGGCCGGGAGCAGGGCTCAGCTGATGCAGCCAAGTGCTGCTCCCTGTGCTGTCTTTGGAATGAGAGATGGGGAAGGGAATGGAGGGAGCTCATTTTGGGGGCTGCCCAGCTCAACTCCCAATCCCTGGGACCCAACGGCAAATGTCGGTTGGATCCCAGGGGCAGCTGAAACTCATGGTGCTTCCTGCAAAGTGCCATGATTTACACCGGCGAGCTGCATGTCTGTCAGTGCCCAGAAAGAGATAGAATGTAACTGCCTCCAAGGAAAGAAACAAGTTAATTGTGATGTCTGATGGCCTATTTCAAGAATGTCTCTGGTTTCTTTTCTTCTTTTTATAAGTGAACTCTAGCATGGTGGATGGATGCATATTATTCACAACAGGAAATACCATTTACCTATAACCTTAATATATTTTTCACCTGGGTAGTGTGTAGTTATTGCCTCTAGTGATTTAATCTTTCAAGAAACCCTTTGGCAACCACATTATTTTGCAGTCCTCCAAGCAGTACTTGACTTAGTTGATATGTCTAAGTGGACTCTTCCACTTGCATATTTCTTATTTTGCCACACCTCAAAGTATCATTTCCACATGTCTCAAGATGACTGTTGTGGAAAAAGTAGACCTAGAACTGGTTGAAGAGATCAGTGAATTTTGCATGCTTTTTAAGTAGTTTTTTGCTAGATTCAAGTCACAAGTCAAAAACCCCCTCCTAATACACTTATTTAAGGATGTTATTAACAACTTTAAAGTGGACAGCCACAAGGGAAATCCTTCCTTATTGACTGTGTTGAGGAAATAAGGGCCACATTTTTTAAGAATAGGTCATCATTCCATTCTAAAACTACTACATCAAGTTTCTATATCACTGCTGAGTGGACATTACTGCCTCCAGAACATTCAAAACCATTAAGTCATTCAAATGTATAACTAATGTGCAAGGATCTGGGTTTTCCATTTGCCATGGAAAAATGTGGATTTTCTCCTTGAGGATCTAGGACAGAAGTTCAATAAACGGGTTTAACCTAAATCAGTTAAGTCTGATACTATATCCAGTTTATCTTAAACCAGTTTCATCCACTTTGAAAGAAGTTTATGTGGACTGAACTTCTGTTGTGTTATAGACTTGAACTGGTTTCCGATCACTTATACCAGTTCATGTGTAATTTCTGTTCCTAACCTAAAGAAGAAAATCATGGCTTTTATCCTGACACAATATAGACCTAAATCATGTCTTTTCTCCTTTAAAGGAGAAAAATGTGGGAGCATCTGTGGCGGAGCACCTTTGTAGGTGCTTGCCACTTGAGGGCTCTCACAGGCTCCAAAGGGAGCCTGTTTTGGAGAAGCAGCAGGGGAAACCTTCACCTGGTACCATTTAAAGGGGGAAGATGTGGGGCAGGGCACTGTGGGTGCCTGCCACTTTAAGATCAGAGCCAAGCAGCCAGCAGGCGCTTGACTGAGGCAGCCATTTTAGTTCCCTGGCTGCCTATATAAACAGCTCAGCTCCCTGCTGTGAGGCTTCTTAGAACACCCTGGAGGTAAGGGAGGAGCTGTAGGGGATGGATTAGAGGCTCCTGGTCCTGGGCCTGACCTAAAACTGCACCCTGCTGGGAGTGGGTGGCCTGGTGGGGCTCTCAGTGGCACGGGAGCCCCCAGGAAATGCCAGGCCAGTTACCACCCCAGTGAAAGACGGGTAGGGGTGCCTTAACCCTAGCCCTCACCTTTGGGTGGGTTTAGGTAACACCGGAGGCAGTGGGGGCCAGGCACGGCCGTGGCCACCTGAGCCCTGTGGGGTGCAAGACCCTGAGGAGGGAGAGTGGGAGCCAGGCATGGCTATGGCCATCTGAGCCCTGTGGGGTGCAAGACCCCAAGGAAGATGCTGAGGAGGGAGAGTGGGGGCCAGGCACAGCTGCAGCCACCTGAGCCCACTAGGGAGAGAAGCCTCGTGGCCCTGAGTGAGGGGGCCGGTGCAGAGTCCGGAGTGAGGGGGGGGCAGAGATGAGTAGCCCCAAGTGAAGGGGGCGCTGTGGAACCCCAGAGAGGGGGTGGAGATGGGGAGCCCTAGTAAAGGGGGAGAAGAACCAGAGGGCTGAGGGCCCAGTGTGTGTGTGTATATGTGTGTGTTACCCTGGAAGGGGCCAGAGTATGTTTATACCCAGTCAGGTAATTGGCTGGCCACCACCCCAGTGAGGGTCGTGGGAGAGGCCCAAAAGATGGTACATCTGCCACCCAAGGGATGGACTAGCTAAGCCTATGGCCTAAGGGGCCTGCTTCAAGAGGGAGCAAGGCAGCATAAGTTGGTGATGGATGAAAGATACCCTGTGAGAGAAGGTGGAGTGTGTGAGGCCTAAGTGCAGGTGGTATGAATGTGTGTGTGACTGAGGCCTGACAGCATGGCCTAAGCTTGCTCTGGCTGTAGGCCAGGAGCACTATAAACATCTGCATGCCATATGCGAGGCATGGGCTGTGGTGTAGGGGAGGTTCAGAGCCACAGATAGCGCTCCCTGGAATCGGGGCATAAAATGAGCAGCCTCCTGCCTTGATTGATTGATTGATTGATTAAGAACAAGGCGTGGCAGATGAGTCAGGTGGGTGGTATGCCCAAAGGCAAGTGGGGAACCTAGCACTGTGGCTAGGCAGGGAGCCCCACTTTGCCACAGCATCCAGCCTGCAAGGGGCTGTTTGGGTCTGGGGGTAGCTAGAGAAGGTTGATCAGATGCATGGGACCCTCTTCCTGGTGAGTGAATGCCAGGAAAGCTCTGATTTTCTATGATAAAAAAACTAAAATCAAATGCCAAAATATATAGGTATTTAGAATTTATTTTTATTATAATGACTGAGGCACTGGTAGACTTCCAAACTGCTTTAAAATTGTAAATCTATCAATAAAACATTGTGTTCAACTGATACCTATGTATATAGTGGCGTTTCATTTTAATTGGGGGAAAAACCTGGATTTGGGGGGGTTTAATTATAGAATTTTGAATTTTTAAACAAAAACCAGGATCCCTGCTGCTGTGTTATGTGAGGGATATGATTTGGGGGGTGGGTTTCAGGAGCTGACTGCTTCTAATACATTCATATTTGGCTAGGATGTGTACTGACAATTTCCTTTTCCATACACTATTGCAATATTATCAGTTCCTAAAATGCACAGCCTAGTTTCATATTTTAGACCGGGGTGCTCACCTGCTGGTCCACAAGCCATATCTGACCTACAGGAATCCACAAGAGTCTAGAATTTGGCAGCAGGGGAGTAGTGGCAGCATTAATTGCCAGTCCCCTGTTGCCAATTTTCCAGACCTGTAAAGAACCTAATGAGCCAGAAGACATAGCCCTGCATGCTAGATCACACCAACATGCAGCTAGATCAAGGCACACAGGATCGGTCCAATGTGCAGCTAGATGTGGGCGTGTGGGGTCAGGCCAACACGCAGCCCAATCCAAGCACATGGAGTTTAGCTAACGTGGCTGGGTCCAACATGTGGGGTCACATCCATGGACTTACCCCATGTGGGATCCATCTTTTGGACTGACCCTGAGTCACTCATTCAGCATTCGGGGCTAGAAGGTGGGGTGTCAGTGTTTTAGATCAATGTTGCAGATTCATTGTATGTTTTCCTTTGTCCTTCAGAAGAAACATAATGCTTATTCTGATTAAGATCCCAGGAAGTTGTTACTTTTTAACTAGTAATGTATTACAAAAAGTGATTTTCATAAACGTATCTAATTTACAAGACAATCTGCAGTTGTTCCATGATAAGCAACTTGGACGGCCAAAGGAATTTTGTTTGACTAGCAAACTCCTTCAAAAGTTTCTGTAAATATAACAAGATCTATGAAGTGAGCCAGTCTAAATATTTTATTTTACTAGAAAGAGGATCAGAGCAAAAAAATGGTAAGCAAAATATACCAGGCATATTTTCATTTTTTTACAAAACAAATGGAATCCTGTAAATCCTGATATTTCTACATACAGTAAAAGCTGTGTTAACTGGCACTTTATTAGCCAGAAAACTCTATTAACCAGAATCCGAGAGACGCAGCAAAAGCGAAACCGGAAGTACCACTTCCGGGAGACTTTCCGTTTCGCTGCTGCAAGCTGAGTTTTTCTTTGCCACTTTTTCAGCCCACGACCCAGAGCAAAGCAGCCAGCACGGGAAATAGCAGCCTGCACGGGGGCCCCCTCCCTGTTCCCCGGCACATTGATGCCAGGGAGTGCACCAGACGGTGCACATTTGATTAACAGGAATATTTGATTAACTGGCATCCCCCACTCCCGGGGGATGCCGGATAACAGAGCTTTTACTGTATCTGTCTTATGCAAAGTTTGTTGCAATAGGGAAGCTTAAATTCACACCTGCAGTATAAATGACTGCTACTATAAACTTATCTAAATGTTGGCAAAGAAAATTTTACCTTGACAAAACTCTTAGGGTCCCGTTGGTAATATCAGTGTATGACAAATTTAAATATAGGAGAGCTGAACACCCTTCTGAGATAAGTCTCATTGATTCGTCCTGAATAAAAAAAAAAATAACAAGTATGTCAAATGAAGATTTTGTTTTTCAGTGCAAGTCCCTTGGTAAAAAAAGAAAAAAAGAGAATTTTTTTAATGTGTTGAAAGTAAAAATATAGATCAAAATTATTTTCTTTTGGAATTCTTTAGATAAATGTTACATTATAATGCTTATTAAGCTATTTTTATTTTTTGTAAACATGTCAATTGTTATGCACCATTCAAGAAAGCACTTAAGTACTGAGTATAGAATTAAAGAATCATAAAATCATAGAAAATTAGGGCTGGAAGGGATTTCAGGAGGTCAGCTCATCCAACCCCCTGCTCAAAGCAGAAGCATCCCCAACTATGTCATCCTAGACAAGGCTTTGTCTAGCCGGGTCTTAAAAACCTCCAAGTATGGAGATTCCAGAACCTGTCTGGGTAACCTGTTCCAGTGAGAGTTTTTCCTAATATCTAACCTAAACTTCCCTTGCTGCAACTTGAAACCGTTGCTCCTAGTTCTGTCATCTGCCAGCACTGAGAACAGTCTAGCTCCATACTCTTTGAACCACCCATCAGGTACTTGAAAGCTGTTATTAAATCCCCCCTCGGTCTTTTCTTCTCCAGACTAAATAAGCCCAGTTACCCAACCAGGTCTAAGCTTGCTCTGGCTTTTTATAGAATCTTTGAATCCTAGCCCTACCCTCCAACGTACCTACTAGGCTGGCCACTACCACAGTGAGGGTCACAGGGAAGACCCAAAAGATGGTACATCTGCCACCCAAGGTATGAGCTAGCTAAAACCTATGGCCTAAGGGGCCTGCTCCAAGAGGAAGCAAGGCAGTATAAGTTGTCAATACATGAAAGAGACCCTGTGAGAGAGGGTGGAGTGGGGAGGGCCCTAGTGAGAGGAGGGCAGTATGAATGTGACTGTGTCTGAGGCCTAATCTTGGTCCGGCTGTAGGCCAGGAGCACTGTCATCTGGATGCCATCTATGAGACTTGGGCTGCGGTGTAGGGGAGGAATGGAGCTACAGATAGCACCCCCTGGCATCGGGGCAAGAATGGGCAGCCTCCCACCTTAACTAATATCCTAATTAATTAACAACAAGGTGTGACAGTTGAGTCAGGTGGGTGGCCTACCCAAAGGCAAGTGGGGAAACTGGCACTGTGGCTAGTCGGGAAGCCCCACTTTGCCACAAGATCTCCTGATTTAATTCAGATTTGGAGATTCGGCTGTCAAATTGAGCCAAATCTCTGCTGAACTGAATCAGCGACCAAAGCTTTGCACAGCCCTAATACCTACTACTCTCCCCAGCTTGGTGTCATCCACAAACTTGCTGAGGGTGCACTCCATCCCATCTTCTATACCACTGATAAAGATATTGAACAAAACTGGCCCCAAGACCAACTCCTGGGGCACTCCACTTGATACCTGTTGCCAACCAGACAGAGCCACTGATCCATGGCTACCCTTTGAGCCAATGATCCAGGCAGTTTTCTATCTACCTCACAGTCCATTCATCTCACCTGTACTTCTTTAGCTTGCTTGAAAGAATGTGATGGGAGATCATATCAAAAGCCTTACTAAAGTCAAGGTATATCACATTCACTGCTTTCCCTGCATCCACAAAGCCAGTCATTTCATCGTAGAAGGCAATCAGGTTGGTCAGGCATGACTTACCCTTGGTGAGTTCATGCTGATTGTTCCTAATCACCTTCTTCACCTCCAAGTACTTAGAAATGGATTCCTTGAGGACCTGCTCCAAGATTTTTCCAGGGACTAAGGTGAGGCTGACCAGTCTGTAGTTCCCTTTCCTAATCATCTGGGACCTTTCCTGATCACTGAAGTTTTCAAAGATAGTAGTCAGCAGCTCTGCAGTCACAGTGGCCAAGTCCCTCAGCACCCTTATGTGCATCACATTTATCCCTGTGGACCTGTACACATCCAGCTTTTCTAAATAGCCCCTAACTTGTTCTTTCATCACTTCCAGCTGCTCACCTCCTCCCCAAACTGTGCTGCCAGGTGCAGTAGTCTGGGAGCTGATACTTACTTATTTTTCATTAGAATTCTTTTTATTTAACACTATTAAACAGTTAGATGATCAAAGAAAGTATTACTGCATCCCCTGTCTAAAAATGTGAAGTTAAAAACAAAGTTAAATTCTAAATTGCTAAGAGGCTATAACATTGTAATTGTTCCACAAAGGTATACTATCTCCTAGATTTACCACTAATACTCTTTGGATGCCTGGATTCAAGAGTACTTTCACAAGTACTCAACATTTTAGAAATGTTGCTCCATGGGAATCAGGATTTTAAATAAAGTATAAGCATATATCAAATACTATACTATATCATCATTTATAACTGTCAGATGCTTTTGACCCAAGCAATTAAAATTATTGTAATCATAGTAAAAGCATATTTCTAGAGAGAAAACAGGGGCAAGTGAATACAAAACAATCATGCTTATATACTAATCGGCTACTTCCTTTTTAAGAACAACAATTATACATTATGGCCCTGGTCCCATTCAACCTCTACCATGCTTAAGTCCTGGCCATCATAGGTCCCCAAAAGTATGAATCTAGCCTTGAAAGAGTGATCCTCTTTCACCCTGTAGAGATGTATAGCTTTCCCGTGTTGGAGATGAAAAGCCATTATGTGACCGCTATGCAAGAAAAATCTGATTCCAAAGAAACATACATACTTCTTTCAGACTAGGGACAGACATTACACATAAACCAGTTTAAGTGATCAGAAACTGGTTTAAACCTGTAACAGAACAGATATTCAGTGCACATAAACCAGTTTGAAAATGGCTAAAACTGGTTTGAGATAAATCTGGTTGAATGTAATATCAGACTTAACTTGATTTGGGTGGGTCAAATCAGTTTATGCAATGTCTGTCCCTGACCCCTTCCTGGTTTAAGTTAAACCAGAATCCCCCAGCATCCTGGCATGCTCTCTGTTCTGGGCAGGGCTCTCTGCTCCAGAGCAGGGCTGCCCCCTCCCCTCTGCTCCCTCGCTGGAGCTCCAGCTGAGACTGGCAGGCACAGAGCATCTGCCTGGCTTCCTCCTGCTCCCCCCCACCGCCCTTGTTGCTCACAGCTCCCTCCCTCCCCCCCTCCCACAGCACGGATGGTAGCCAGCACGTGCTATGCTAGCTATGCTAGCTAATGCTGAGAGGTGTCTGTGTAAGGCAGACAGGACTGTCTTTAGGATGTTTTGGAGCTAATCAACAGGTAATGTCCCTCCTTGGAGTGTTCCCTTCCTTGCAAAAAGTTGTTTAAGAAGAGCTTGAACTAATGAGAGGGAGTTTGTTTTCTGATGGGGTGTTAAATGCTGACAACAGAGCTGATAAATGCTCTGTTATCAAGGATGGGGGGGAACCCCTACCTAATCAGAATGTCCTGCTGCAGCCTTAGCTCAGCATTGTGGAAGGGAAGGGAGGGCTGCTCTAGCCTCCCGCCAGCCCTGGCTTCTAGTCTGAGCCACTGCAGGCATGTGCCTGAATTTCTTCAGTCCAGAGGGGATGTCTGCATGGTTACAAACTGGTTTACCCTAGCCAGGTTAGACTAACCTGCAAAGATTGAATCAATTCAGGCTCAGGATTTTTTAATATCTGTCTCTAGCCCTAGTCTCTCAGTAAGGAACTATAAGTACTTCCATCATGTTGGGATTTAGGAAAGATATCTATCTGACAGACAGCATTAACTTCAGTGTTCAGTAACATGGACAGTGATGGTGCCCTTTCAGTCTTTTAGTCTGATATCCTACTAGTTCAAGTACTTGCCTAAGAAATGGGAAAACTACGTTTTAGGCCCACCTCACCAACATTCCCCATTTCCCAGGAAATTTCTCTCTCCACTAGGCTATACACGGAATCCTCCATCACCCCTGTTGAAGCTAGCCCACTGAATGGAAATGAATACAAGAGCCATGTGGCCAAAATGAGAGCAAGAAAGAGAGCACCTGACTCTGCAGTCCAGTGAAAAGCGTCCTCCCCTTCTGTTTCTTGTCCCTGCTCCTAATGCTGTTTATTCATTTTGAATTGTACAGTTATTGTATAAAATGTATAAACAGCATTGAGATGCTGCTCATTAAGAATCATGACTTGCACAGTTTATGCCTGTGGTTCTCAACCTTTTTAGGCTCTAGGCACCCCATGGAAAATGTCAGCTCTTGATTTTCAATCATAGTTTGATCCTGGAAAAATAATATGCCAGTATTTCTATTGCAAAAATTCAGAAATACTTCTTTTTTTGGTTTATTTTGTGAACCATATTTGCACACCTAAGAGTGCTAAGACTGCATGACATCTCAAGGCACACCACAGTGCTGCAGTACCTTAGTTGAGAATCACTGGTTTATGCACCTTCCCAGTTAGAACTGCATTGTGACAGACCTTAGGTGCATCATGATGTCTATGTGGCTATTCTGGATTGTTTCTAAACATGTGCAATACCCTAAACTGGGAGAATCTTTCCAAACCAAAACAGGGGCACATAAGGAATTGAGACATCTTACCAGTTGTGGTTGCTGTGCTGGGTAGAACAGAATTACGTTTTAATAATGCAGACACCTAAAAGCTGCACATGTGCCATTTAGACATCTTAGAGGTGGAACAGAACCTGGCCCTAAATGCTGATTTGCCAGAGATAAATAATCCCATCCAAATTTCTTTTTCTTGCATTTAATACTGGGGGTTTTGAGCAGGGCAGAACTAGAATAATATAGGCACTTATATGCATGATGCCATTCCAACATACATGTGATGAAAATGTCACTTTGTGTGGCTTAATGGTATCATGCTGTACATGTGCAAGAGTTTTGGAGGTTTTAAATGAGTTTGCATTGTTGCAAACTGAACTACATTGCTACTTGCAATGATGCAGATGTCAGCTTGCCCCCCAGCTGTGGGAGAGGCAGGCAAAACTCCACAGAAAAAAAAAGATCAGGCCCCTCACCACTTCTGCCTTCAGCAGACTCTTATGCCCTGGAGGCCACCCGGGAA